AAAAAGGTCATTGAAAACAAATAAAGATAAATTTTCATTTAAAACATTTAACGCATGCGCATTCTCAACATTTTATATTATTTAAAAAGTTTTTTTTGTATATTTTTTTTATTTGATTTTTTAAAATAATTTAAAATTTTGTTTTATTTAAAATATAATGTTTATTTTCCAATTACTGTTGAGGTATGTCATCTGACCTAAGACACGCTTCGAAAAAGCTTTCGCAGTGTGTGTAATAGTTTGATAAGTTAACATTAGGAATAGATAAGCATGCCTCACGCATTCTTGAAATTAGTTAATTTCTTTCAGCTGGGGCCGTATTTCTTCGCACGTTATTCTTAAGATAAAAAAAAATCTCTTCACACGGATTCAAGAATGGTGAATATGGTGACAAAAACTTTATTTGAATGTTCTGAGCCCTCATCTCAACATTATGATGGATTCTGACATTATCCATCACCAGGGTGAATTCTTCCTCTGTCCCCAAAACTCGTACAACTTCATCAATATATTCTTGAGACAAAACTGTGTTGACTGACACACTGACAGCTTTGCAGCGAATAATATTTAAACCATTGACGGCCAATATCATCGAAATGTTACGTTGCCTAGGGTGAATGATCGGGTTTGGTTTTACTCCTCTTCTTGCCCATGAATGACTGCGAAACATGTGTAAATTAAATGAACTTTCATCAATAAAAACAATATTTTGATAGCGATTAATAAGCGAGATTGAAGTATACCACCTAACATATTCAATACGAAGATTTTTTACATCATTGTCGTTCCTTCTTTCATAAATTGGTCGAATAATTTTATATGTGTATCCAAGATTGGTCACCCATCTCCAGACAGTTTTAATTGATACATTTACATTTAAAGCATATTTAATTTCAATTATAGTTGTCGTTGTGTTATCGTTTATAAGCTCTTCACTTCTTTTTCTAATCTCTTCATTATAAATAACGTTACGAGCGCCACCTCTAGAACCAGGAAGTGTTGAATTCGTTTGATCGTACCTTCTTAAAATTGATTGTATTGTGTTTCGATTAACTCCTGTTAACGATGAAGCTTCAGATTGAGTTTTTCCTTGATCAACGACTAGATTTACAACAAGATCTTGCAAATTTTTGGAAACAGAATTTCGCGGCATGAAGATTCAGATTGAGTTTTTTGTGGCAATTAAGTTTCAGATTGAATTTTTCTTTGATCAACGACCGATCTCAAAACAATTTTTCGCTTATTTTGGCAAACAGCTGCATGTTTTAATGAATATCTAATATCCTCATGCGCTAAATATTTTAATAGGAAATCATGGTTGTTTTAATTATCATCATGCATGTTTTAATTGAACATCATGGTTGTTTTGCCAATACAGTATGTGTATAAAAAATATGTAAAAAAATATGGTTTTGCATCCATTTAAAACAAACGTGACATCCATTCAAATTTAAAATAAATTCCATTAAATTAAAATAAATTAATATAATATTGATAAAAATAAATTTATATAATATTAGATAAATAAATATATAAAGAAGACCTTTTTTTTTAAAATAATATAGAATGTTGAGATTGCGCATGCGTTAAATGTTTTAAATGAAAATTACGATTGTTTTAATTGAAAATCACATTGTTTTAATTGATTGTCGCTGTGTTTTAAATGAATGTCATGGTTGTTTTAAATGGTTGTCATGATTGTTTTAAATGGATGTAAAAACCGGTAGACCTATATAAACTTTTTGAGCGGTTTATTAGAGTTTTGAACGTTTTCAGGGTACCAAAGTTTTCAGGGCTACAAATGACATCTGTATTTTTTCATTCATGTTAAGTTTTTTGCTCTTAAATTTTTTTTCAAAAAAAATTATTTTACTAAAAAATATTGAAGTAAATAAGGAATAGGTATAGAAATAGTTAGCGAAGAATAGATATGTAAATTGATAAAAAATCTTTGTTTTACGGATCCGGAAAGCTAGGATATATAATGAAAAAGTATAGAAAAGTTCGATTTGGAATAGATATATAAAGACCCGTATTTTTACGGGTCCGATCTCAGCTAGTATGCAAAAGTGGTTTAAAACTGATAAGACGTGATTTTTAAAAATTTATTAATTTTTAAGTACTATTCAACGGATTCAATTTTAAATAATTTTGAAACAAAAGACTATCCTATTGATAAGAGTTCTGTTCCAGAATTTATTGTCCAAAACTATTTCAGCGCAGCAGGTGCAAAGAAATTGCTCCTATTTTTATGCCAAACAAATAATTCCATGAGAATGACCGTTTGAAAGCTTTGCTTATTAATTTAAGAAGCTTGAGATGTTTTTTTGAAAGTTTTTGTTTCAGTATGAAAGATACTCTAAACAATTTTAACTTAATTTGTGTAACCAAAACACGGCTCTTGTTAAGTAAATTCTAATTCAAATATAAATTTGGGAAAGCTGGGAGTAAATTTCATCAAATAAGAATTTTATACTGGCTTGCTTTTTAATTAATTCATCGTTAAAAAAAAATTGGACAACTTAAAGGGCATGTTTAATTCTTGTGATTTTTTTATGGAATAAAGTATAATTTTTTTTCTCAACATTTAATGATAGTTTGTTCGTCCTAAAACAAACATTTAATTTATTCAGATAAATATTCACTTCCGTATATAGTTGCCTAAGGTGTGGCGGAATAGTGTCGCAAAATTTTGATTGTCGTAAATTTGATTGTCGAAAATGTAAAAAAGGAATAGTGTCGCAAATTGTCATATTATTGATTGTCGAATAACAGAATAAGGAATAATGTCGCAAATGAGTTTAATGAATAGTATCGAAACAAAAAAAAGGAATAGTGTCGAAAATGAGTTTAATGAATAGTGTCAAAAAATAATAATAATGTCCTAAAGGAGTTTAATAAATAGTAACAAAAATAAAAAAATAATAATAATAACTATAATGTGCGTTTAGATAACATTTACTAATTAATATTATTATAGTTGTAGTCGTAAATTTACATAGAATGTACACATACAAACTTATTCCACAACCAGGAGTCTTGTCTATTTTTGAAGGAAAGTACAGTGGAGTACAAAGTTATTTGCTCTGGTAGTTCGTTCCAGTATTTTGCTGATCTATTATACAAATGATTATATCTTGGAAGACAGTTTGGAACATACTCACGCCTTATTTTAGAATGGTGACCACAAGACATGGAGTTAATATATTTTGGTAGATATTTATCATTAACTATATTAAAACGATGTATTAATTTAAAAATTTGGATTAAATCGCATCGAAGGCGTCGAAACTCAAGTGATGGTAGATTTAATCTTTTTAGCCTTTCGCAGTATTGAAGATGCCTCAAGCCCAATTTGTTGCTTTGCGTTGAACAGATTCAACCAAAGCCATATCAGCTTTTAAATAAAGAGCCCAAATGGACACTCCATATTCAAGATGTGGTTTTATAAATACTTTATATAATTTTAGAGCCATTTTTTCATCAATGAAAGTGAATATCTTTTTCAACATACCAAGAATTTGTAAGAACTTAGAGACAACTGTTTGAATATGAGCGCTCCACTTGAGGTTAGATGTAAAAATGACTCCTAAATCACGTTCTTTAGTAGAGCTTCTTAGACATTGGTTGATTTCTTGGTTATTTTTCAGAAAGTAATTGTAATGGGGGTTGTTTCGACCTTATTCATTAAATTCATTTGCGACACTATTCCTTTTTCTTTGCGACATTAGGTCTTTTTAATATATTCGACATTATTCTCAAGTTCATTTTTCGACACTATTCCTGTCACCCTTGCCTAATAATATTATTTGGAAAAAAAAAGATTTGTATTGCCAGCAAACATTATTGAATTCAGTCTTAATAATGCATTACAAAAGTCATTGACATAAATTACGAATAGGTGTGGACCAAGGATCGATAATTGAGGAACTCCGCATAAGACATTTAGTGTTTCAGTTTTCACTTGATATGTAATCAGTAATATACTTCTGAAAAGGGTCAAATTTTAAATTTTTAAAATACTTTTTCAGTGAATACTCTATAAAATGCTTGTGGAGTCCATGCTTCGCATGAAACTAGGGGAAAGGCGCCTATGATGGTATACCGGTCATATTTCCATGAAAATTGGTTTTGGTGAAAAAGTGATTAGATCTACATGAATATATTAACTTTATATTAGTTTTAGTAAAAATACGTGCTTTTGCACAAATATTGTTTTTATAATCTAGAAAAATCGATTTTGGGATGTGCTGTTGTAGTTTTGTTCCCTTCATATATTTAAGATTGTGATTTTATTATTAACTGTGCAGAAAGGAAATTTTCATGCATTTTATTTCCAAGTTTTGTGCATTTAGTGGAATACTTACTTTGATTTTATCTTTTGAACAACGCAGACACAGCATGTTTTAATGAAAATGATGACTTCTTACCATGATGGCATACTGACGAGTTAGGAAAACCTTTTTTTTTGTTATAAGAAAAACTTATTTTTAAGTAAAGTAAAAAGAAAGCGATGCTCCAAAAGTTTTTTTTGGTCCAAATAATAATAAATAAGCAATAAATCCTATGCGCATGCGCGAAACTTTTTAATGCTGCTGTGTAGCATGAAATGGTAAATTATGATGGCTCCGAGTAATTTCTGGCTTTTCTTAGTTAAGTATGCCATCATAGGCGCCTTTACCCTATATGTTCTTAATTTATTTTTTTACTTTGAGATTTCTGCAAGTTTTGTGTGAGTCAGTGGAAGCAAAACATATTTTCCCATTCCTAAATGGTTACTAATGCGCTAATAATCATTAGATGATAATATTATTCAAAAAGTTACGGCAATAAGAGTACAGGAATAAAAACACCTACCCTACCCCACTCCCAATACTTTCTGCGTTTAGGTAAAATAGATAAAAAAATTCTTAGTGGTTAACCCGTTTCAACTGGATAGTGGTTAAAAAAAAAAGTGGTTAACCCGTTTCAACTGGATAAATAAATGAAAATAAACTTACTTGTTTGTTTCGACGTTGAAGCAACCAAACTTTTTGAATCAAAAACTTGTTCTCGATTTTTTGCTTCTTCTTTCTCTTTTTCTTTCATTGCAAGTCTCTCTCTGAGAGGGATTCTATTAGATGTATTATATTCATGAAAACTACTGCTGGCTGATTTTTTGTTTCTAGTATCCTGGATATTTTCGTCATTTTTTTTATCATTATTAAAAGTACTCAAATTGTTTTTGTTACTTGGTTTGTTATCCATATTGTTTTTTTCTGTACTTATATTACTATTATTACCTAATTTTGTAACTTCATTTGAATTTAAGTTGTGAATCCATGGAGATATATCAACAGTACTTATTTCAAACAAAGATTTTGTCCGAGAATCTCTGCTGTCTTTCGAAACTTGGTAATAAGATTTATTCCGACGAACTACATTTGATTCGCCACAATCTCCATTGTTAGTTTTAAAAGTACTCTTTGACAAATTTTTTTCTGGATCGGTAATATTGTGTCTGTCAAAATTGTTATCGACTTGGTATTTATCTTTGTTAGTCTCTTCTTTTATTGCTTCCAACGGCAAAGTTTCTATATTTTTTACCAAACTAACAGTTTTTTCGCGCAAGTTGTTATTTCCAGACAATTGCAATTTCATTGCATCATCAGTTGGTGATTGAGGCATGGATACTAAACTTGTGTTTGAAGAAATATCAAAAGAATAAGGAGAGCGTTCCTCTGGCGAATACTCAAAAGCAGGTTTTGGAAAGTGAATATGCTGTCTAAAAAAAGTCGAAACATAAAAATTTTTATATTGTGAAATTTTTTAGACATTAAAAAAAGTTTATATTATAAACAGAAACTTTGTTACACTCTATAACTTTTTTTTTAGTTAAGAAAAAAATACAAACAAAGAAAAAGCAAACCATCTCATGTTTTAATTAAGTAATAAAGAAAAAAAATTTATAAGAAATAGAAAAATTTAAATAATGTTATGGAAAAGTAATAAAGGTGATTAAAATTATAAAATCATAAAACAGATAAATATGATGAAACGACAACAACTTTTGTGGGAAAATTATATACCATATTTAAAGAAAAAAATGCTTAAAATATATTTTTGTGGGAAAATTATATATCATAATTTAAAAAAAAAAGCTTAAAATATAAGTTAAATAAATAAGAACATAATAATAACGTAAAGAATAGAAGCATAAATGAAATAAATATATATAATCAAAGAAATCTTTGTATAATTTTTTTTTCAATTTTTGAGTAAAATATACATCATGTTTATTAAAGAATTCTTATCCAAATTTACAGTGCTTAATAACTTTTGTATCTTAAGATATAAACACAGTAACTTTTTTACATTAAAACGGAGAGACTATATTTTAACTTGGTTGCTAGATCTTTTTTTACCATTTTCTGCAGTTTTTAAGCCTAGCATGCTTGATATTCATTCTATGTTTTTTTCTTAGAGTTTTAGAAAATTAAGGAGAGTAACTTTATCGTTATGTTTCCGAGGGATTTTAAATAGCTTTGTAAATAATAAGTTATACTAATTTAGACCTTTTAAACCAGTCAGTCGGCAAATTTTAAAAAAAGTTGTTTTTTTTTAATTTTCCAAATTTTTTTTGGACAAATCCCCCTCCCAACGTGACACCTACTTGCACCGGCCCTGATTGCCAGGCACTTATCTTGGTGGCAACTTTTGCCAGACACCTTTAAACTTCAAAAAACTATAACTGTACTTACGTTATAGTATAAAAATGGATCTTTATACAGATTACTTAGGGAACTATTAAAAGATGCTTCCTCATAAGCCAGAAACTTTCTACAGTCTACTAGACAACCGTATACGAATATTGTTAGTTTAATATGTCAAAACGTTAAAGTGAAAACTTGTTACATAACTTAAAGTAAAGTAATCCTGCTTGAATGTGTAAAAAAACCCAGGTTTCTATTAGCATTTAATAACTGGAATCTAAGATAGATGAAAACTGTAATAAAAATAAATTTAAAAGGTTGATTTTAATAGCTACTTTTTTTTTTAAATAAAAAAACAAACAATGGCAATAACCATGAATGTTGTAATGGAAATCGTTTTAAAAAAAAGTTTTTAAATTTAAGATAAATAGACTGCCCGTCTATTTTTACTGTTTCATAAGTTTTTTTAGAACTTCGAGACGAAGAAAAACTGATATGTAACGGGTATTATAAAAATTCCATAATTATGCACATCATTAAAGATAAAAAGCAAGTATATTCTGTTTACAAAACCTTCTGGTTCAGACACCCTCCCCTTAAAACTTTCTGAACTGCTTATTAACAAAACTAAACTTAAAAAAGAATACTCAATCAACTTTTTAGGTGTAATTCTTAATGAAAGAATTAGCTAGAGTAATCATATCAAAAAAATGGAAAAGAAAATATCTAAAATTATCAGAACTATGTATAAATCAAAGCATCTTCTTAATACAACTTGTTTAAAAAATATCTATTTCTCTTTTATTCATAGCTGCATTAATTACTGTAACATAATCTGGGCGAGTACATATCCAATAAAGTTAAATGCAATTTACAAAAAACAAAAACATGCATGTCGCTTAATATTAAACGCAAAGAGGTACACCAGTGCCAAACCTCTACTAAGAGAACTTGGAGTGCTAAATGTCTTCGAAGTAAATATTCTTAACATACTACTTTTTATGTTTAAGTTAAAGAATCTACTACTACAAAACACTTCCCAATATCAATTTATTTCTATAAACCACAAATACTAAACTAAGTACTCAATTAACAACTTTGTTATTTCAAAAACTTTATTAAAACAAGTTGACTTCTCAATATCTTGCCAGAGGGCCGCGATTGTGGAACTCGATTCTAACAAGTAATATAAAGACTATAACTTCCACTATACATTTAAAACGTGCAACGAAACAAAAATTCAGTTTTGATTATAATCAATTACTAACTTACTTTTAAAACCTTTATTATAATCTTAGTTACCTAATATCTTATATATTGACGCAATACGTTTTTATTTTTATTTTTTTCAATAAGTATTTTCAATATTTTCTTCAATATGTATGGATTTCAAAGTTATGTTGTTATATTGACGTAATAAAAAAATTATAATAAAAAAAAAAATGATAAAAAAAATAACAATAAAAAAAATAAAAATAAAAAAATAAAAATAAAAAAAAAATTAAAATGGAAAAAAAAAAAAAAAAGGTTAAGCATGTGTATAATATACAAAATTATATCTAAATTTGTAATAACGGGGCTGGATAATAAGACCATGACTTCTGCCAGCTCCAGTCGGAATTTTTCAAAACATTTATATAGTTATGTTGTAAAACATTGTAAAGCTTGTTTCAAAGGACGAAATAAAATAAATTGTTTGTATATATTTTTTGTTTTTGTTTGGTTGGAAAGTTTGTCTCGATTTCAGTTTTTCTCTTGTATATTTGGTTTATTAAATTATGTCCTTTACCCCATTGTCTATACTACTCTAAATTGATGAGATAGTTTGTATATCTTTTTTAAGTCTATACTAATTTATCTTCCCTTAATATTATATAATATTCTATACTTCTATGCTTAACACACTAAATATTTTCATAATTGACCTATTTTCTTAATTTTTTTTCACTAACACCAGTTTCATGGTTAAGAATTGTGCTTATCATTTTTCAAAACATGATAAAGCTTCACAACTCAATTGTTAAGTGAAACAACTGCATCTTTTTTAATGATCTAATTTCACAATGACTCTACAATGAAATTAAAGATTTTTTTATTAGATGGTCTTATCTTTATGTAGATTTTGAAAAAAGTTAATATTTTCGAACGTAGCCAAAAAATAATATCATAAAAAGTGAGACTTTACCAGCATGTACTGTATATGAAAAATTGCTCGTTTAGATGGTCTAAAAAAGTAATTATGCTTAAAATTTTTGTCTAAATTCAACTTTTTTGTCCCAGTATTACACAATAGGTTAAACTTTGTCTCGATTGTACTTTATCTTTTAACAATTTTCATCTTTATTTGACTATATTGAATTGATGGAGAAAAATGACAAGAATCTATTGTTTCTTTCAATTTTTACTTTTATAGTTGTTGTTGTCGTTTTTTTTACATTTTTTTTTAACTTTCACTGCGTTTGTTTATTTATTTTTTTAATAACTTTTGATTTTGTTTTCAGTATTATATAATTATTGAACAGATATAACTGCTCTTATGTCTGACACATGCGATATGTGAATATATACTATATAAAAAACACATTGCATGTTAACATATTGTATTCATATAAATCCCATGTTTTAGAATTAAATCATAAATATTTACATACCCTATAAAATAATATCAAACTTCAAGCATATACTTAAAAAGTAGTACATCTATAGTTTGTGGCAACTTGTTGGTCATGTTACCCTACAAATTTATAGTATTATTTGCGGTTATTTGTTGCTCAATATTACTTGCAGGGTGCAAGTTATATTGTACTTAATATGTTTAAACTCTACCACTACCAATTTTTTAATAAAGTAATAAATCATTTTTATGTTTCTATCATTCTTATGTTTTTATTAATCATTTGGGTGAAAGTTTCTAACAATCTTACATAAAAGAAATTTCTGAAATCTTATGTTTTTATAAAAATTGTTGTAGGCGTTGGGGTGGTGTTCTAAAGGTTCTAAAAGGTTGAAAATTTTCCAATTACTTAATTTAAAAACAATTCTAACTTTATGTTTCAATAACTTCAATTGTGATAAGAAAAGGATGTGTTAGGTACATCATCAGCTTTAACAAAGTTAAAGCTGATGATGTCACTGACAACATGGTTAAAACTTTTTTCGTATGGTTTAAAGTATTCACAACTTTTTTTAAGTATTGAACGTTTAAATTTGGTTCAATTTGAACTCAAATTGAAGTTAGCAATATTTTAACAAAAATATTTTTAGCAAAATTTTACAGTTTTAAAATATTTTTGAATTTTTCTGTCGTT